ATTTGTGTATAAATTAATCAATGTATAATTGGCTAAATCACTAAACGTCCAATGACTAATGTGAATTTGTGCAATTTTGTGAATATCAGAATATGTGTTGTTGGTATGAGTAATAAGTGCATTTATGAATTTTAGTTTATATGTACGGCAAGTATAAATTTGTATTCATGATATATAAATTAGTGAAGACTTATATATATAAATATTATTTATTGTTGTATAATTTGTTAGGTTAAGTATTTAAAATTCATAATAACAGATAATCCTCAAACACTTCAAGTGAAGAGGTTAATAGGAAAATTTGCAATCATAAAAAATGAAGCAAATTTACAACGTTTTCAACAAGTGCAAACTCACAAGACACAATTATCTCCACTAATTTCACGGAGACTGGAGTAGTCAGTTTGCTATTTTGATTTGGGAAAACTGTCAAATAGGTCCTCGAACTTTCATAAAAAAATCAATTAAGTCCTTCTATAGGAGACTTTGTCCGGTCGTCGCGATTTGGGGCGGTTTTCGGTGGAATTTTTTGATGAAATTTTTTGAGCATCTTATTCATCAAGTCTAGTTTACTCATACCAAATTTCAGCTAAAAATTTAATCGGGAGCGCATTCAAATTAATTCGAGAACACAAAAATGCGCAGTTATCTTCAAGAATTAATTTGAATGTGTTCCCGATTGAATTTTTAGCTGAAATTTGGTATGAGTAAACTAGATTTGGTGAATACGATGCTCAAAAAATTTCATCAAAAAATTCCACCGGGAACTGCCCCAAATCGCGACGGTCGGACAGAACCTCCTATAGAAGGACTTAATTGACCTTTTTATGAAAGTTCGAGGACTTATTTGACAATTTTCCCTTTTGATTTAAACATAAGATTTTCTAACACATTGACTTTAGATTGTCGTGTGTTTATCATATACTTCCTCAAATCTAAAAGAATTGGCCAGTTTCACTTTTCTTGGTCAATGGTGGTCAAATGTAATCAATAATATCTTTTAATACAAAATTTTTCAAAATATGGAAAGTATGTGAACATATTCTTTAATAAAAAGTCTTTCATAAAATATAAAATTTATAAATTACACATAAATATAATATATAAAATTATTGTCTAAACTATAACACTTTTGACTAAGAGAAGTCAAATTGGTCAATATATTTGGGACAGATGGCGTAATATTTTTCTTGTTATTATTTTGAGGTTTTATACGGAGTACATTTTTCGGCACCCCCTCGAAAAAAGTTCTGGTTCCGCCGCTGTATATATATATTTGGTGACTTTTTCTAGGATTGTTCGTCATTTACGTAAACACTTGTCTGAGTTTCTTGATGCTTCCATGAAGCAACTAGTTTGGTATATTTGCCAAAAACATATATTCCAATGTTTTACTTCTAATCTTCTAGGATTTTGTATATCATTGACTCATGCATTCTTTAAACAGGAGGCTGGCAAGCTGAATGAGATTGTTTCTGTCATAAACAATGCTTGTCGAGGAATTGGAGAATTAGCAATTAAGTTGGATCAGTTTATCATCTTGTTACTATCACAATTCACAATATACACACATATTATTTTTATTAAGTGAATCTGAGTTATAGTTTGCTTGGGTATGGTATGTTTCCTAATGTAAAGGGAAGATTTACTTCCTTCTCTTTTATAGGCAATGATATTACACTGCTTGTCTGCTTAATAGGTATTGTAGACATTATATATAATTGACATTTTCCCATGAATATTACTAAATTAGATTCAAAAGATGAAAATATGACTTACTTTAAAAAAATTCAAAAAAATGACATATTCAGTGACTAGTCTCAATGACGACTCATCATCGATTCGTGACTTGTCACTCTGAAATACGCTCTAGTGACTCTTGTCCGGTTACTCGTACACAGTGACTAGTTATATATTTGTCCAAAACATAACTAGTCATATTTTTGTTCGGGAAAACTATATATAAGTAATATATATGTCATTTTTTCAATATAATATAGTCTATTATATATGGAGTATAATATTAAGAAAAAAAAAAAATATTAGGCATGGAAGCAAATGGATCATGGATGTGTACATTTCTTCCATGACAGAGATAAACTCATTCAAGGCTTGTTTCTTAGAGGTTCGTGTGTTCATCATATCTGAACATCTTTCTTCCCAAAGAGGTGTTCATTCAAGGCCTATTATGATAAAGTAAATCCTAAACACCAAGTCCAAGCTACATTTTATTATATTTTCGCAATGATCGTTCACACAATAAGTGTTTGTAATATGTAAAAAATTCACTGTGTTTATCTCCTATGCAACAGTACATGAGTGGTGGTCGTATCTCAACCTATATCTACACATTAAATAGTAAAAGTAATAAAGTAAACTATTTAACACAGATATAACCATTTTTAACATAGCCTTAAATTTCTGTATGAATATGATAAATACTACATGTTATTTGTAGTTTTATTTTCAAATCATGCTTTTTATGTGTACATATGCCATCACAAAAGTGATTTAATATTTAAGTAACCTTACATATATTTCAAATGTTATAACATGTATAAATATAGAACCAACCTCTCACATGGATAATGGATTAGAGGTCAAAATTAGGTAAATTTATAAAATCCAATTTAGCACAAAAATATCCACGGTCTAGCTAAAATCTCAATCCAACTCCTCTATGAATTTATATCCCAACTCTCAAGCCCATAAGTCTATCCTACTTGCATGTTTTTTATTTCATTTTAGGGGAGGAATGCCCTAGGAAACGTTGTTCCTCCTAGTGTTCCACTCTAGTGTTTTCTCTTTTGCGAACACTTTCTCTGGTTGTGAGATTTTTTAGTGTATCCTTCTAAACTTATTATAGTATTTGTTTAATTGGTTGTGAGATTTCTTAACTCATTTATGTTGCATTATCTTCTTTTTACACTAAAAAAATTGTTTTGTTTGGACCAAATCCGAAAATTGATTAGAAAATTTCTTTTCCATTTCACTTTCAATATATGCTCTTGCTTTTTGGCCAAAGCAAGACCACAAAGGTATATTAGGAGATTTGGATTGTATTTGGGGAGGTTATGATAAAACCCTTATGCACACTAGGTGTTTGTAAAAACTGCTATAATTTCTTTATCTTTTTTTCATGGTGACTAGCTTGTAGAACTTGTTAGGGAGGCTCAAGGAGACTTGTAGAACACCATTTGACACCCACCCACATCATACATTCCTACCTCTCCACCACGAGAATAGGAGGAGGTAGGGGGACACCACAAGGTTGTTCATTTTTTCTTAGCTTTAGACCACACCTTTGGACCATGAGAAATTGAGAATGAATATTGAAAATCCTTAGTTTGACCATCGACCATGAGAATAGCAAGGACACATGTTATTTTCTCCTTTTGTTGTTGATTTTTCTCAAATCCCCCATGCATCCTTATTATTGATAATGTGGTTGGTCTTTGTATGACTCATGCTTCCCTTCTGGTTTTTATCACTTGATTGGTTATCTTGCAATTTATTTCTCTTATAATCCATCATAGTGACTTAGACTACAATCCATCATAGTGACTTAGACTAGCTTACACTTATAGGTTGCTTGAATAAAAAATCACATTACACTCCCTCACACCCCGATAAGCTGAAGGGGCATCAAAGTTCAAACTAAATTGCGCAAATCAAAATTTATGTTATCATATACCACTAATGGTGTAAGAATGTCTATGAGATAAGAGGGAAAAAGTTTTTTTTTCAAATATGAAGAAATATTATGAGCATATAGTGAAATTTCTATTGCATATATAGTGAAATTGACCCAATTGTGAGTAATTACTTACTTACTTTTATGCATAACAAAACAGCTTTAAGTATATCAAACATCAATGGTGATGATGGAAGAAAGTATTTAAGTGAAAATAAATTAACCGAATAACTATACTCCTCGTCAGGCCCGTAGAAGTTTTTACGCGGATTTATTTGGTTTCCCTCACTTTCGATTCTAATTTTACACTTGTATCTATTGGGTCAGGCCTAGCCCCCCGATAGTCTGATTTCATTCTCATTGCATGTATTTTGAGAAGGAATGCCTTCGCTGGAGAGGTATTGGTATAGCCTCCCTCTTCATCTGTATCTCCGATATTATCAATAAAACAAGGTAACTGACCCCCGACATTTACCCCACTGATTTTGGTGGTTTGCCTTTCCGGGGTAAAAAAAACTATACTCCTCGTCAATTTAAATTTGATTGCTTTCGATTAGTTTGGGTATCTTTTAGTTGGTTTAATCAATTTCAATAGTCAATATTTGAGATAGCAATTGTATCTTGATGATGGGCGACATATCCTTGATAATTTCGTGCTCTTTATACTCGACACAAATGAACGAAGATGCACCTCAAATGTCAAAGAACACAAAAACATGCAGTACTTAAATCAGTGTATTAACTACATGATTTTTAGTACATGGATTTTCCGTTTGGGAAATTCCTGATTAAATATTGTCTTATTAAATATTGCAAAAATTGCAAGTGTAATCTTATAACCTGAAAAAGTTGCAAGTGCAATGAACTTGAAACCTTTGTGCATCTTTTGTAACTCCTCAATAATGTATGAGCACACTTTTCCTTCATGTTCTTAACTATTGCAAAAAAAAGTTACCAAAACTCTCTTGCCCAACCAACACAACCGAAGCGGCATCACCATATGAAGCTGGCTTAGCCAGTTAACCTTATGGTTGAATCTCATTTGAATAAAACAAAAAGGCATCTCTGGCCTGTAAACAAATTACAAACCATTGGCACTACTAATTTGTAGTTTCCTTCAAATTACCAAAGAACTGATGCGACAATTAACTCTATGATGGCAATGTTTTACGCCAGATGCCCCATAATAAGAGAGAGGGTTGGAGAAGAAAAATCTAAACCCCCATCATCATACATAAACTCTACTTGTATGGAAATTATATCAATAGCACATTTTGCAAACTGTTTTTCATATTTATTATAATATTGCAGTTTACAAATTCAAGAATCAATACAAGAAAGAATATAAGCAGGTATGGTGGCGCACGATAGAGAAATATGATGTTCATAGTCCTTTCAGTCTCATTCAGGTCCATAAGAGATCAGCGTGAAATTAGCTGAGATCAAAATAAGTGAACATCCAACTAATTTACCAAAGGATGCGATTCTTAAAGAACCCATTCGCAACAACTGCGATAGAGCTGCCTACAAATGAAACAAAGCCACACAACAAACACATTATAGGGCTATTTTGGGGGGTAATGAGAATTTTAGTTGTTTCAGTAAGCTTCATTAGTTACACAGATGACAAATACTCTCGTTGGATAACACTGTGTGTTCTCCTGAATTGCCGAACGTTTTCCATTGTCATGATGATATCAATTTTAGGGTCCGATGGTTAGGTCTATTAGGCTGAAATCATATGGTTGAATATTGTGAGGAAAAACATTGGTCATATCCATTGTAGCCAAATAAGTCAAATGCTATTTTTATTGTGTTGATAAGCAGAGCAAGTCACCTGTGGCTACCAATCAAAGCTTTAGCTGTAAAGTTATACCAAGAAATTTTTTTATACTCTTTAAGCATCACTCCCATAATACTCTGTAGTTCAGATCCTTTATTATTCTTCTATTTGTTACTATTGTTTGGGGGAACAAATAAAACAAGAATGTGTGATCCCACCATTTCATTTATTAAGCCCTAAAATGCAATCCAATAACTTGCAAAAGAGTGAGTGTAAATGATACCTCAATATAGAGTACATTGACAGCTCTGCTGGTTTTCTCAAGCTGAAGTCCTCTTGCCAAAGTTATCTGTGAATAGTAAAGGGTTGTAAATCGCATGACCTGGTAGAAATTGTTTTAAGACAAGCAGATGTGTTTCACAAATGTAAAGGACCAATGATAAGGTCAGGTTAAAGGTTGAAACCTCAGCGAAGAAAGCCAGTATACCAAGCACAATTATAAGAAAGAGAGAATAGGAACTTGGAAGCACAAATTTCTGCAGGAATAACAAGGAATTTAGGAGGGTGTGGCAGCTTGAACATTACTAACAAAAAAGTTCTTCGTATTAAGCCCATAACTACAGACATTTCATGTTTTTTTATGAAGGTAAATAGAGGTTATACAAATTATGGTTTCCGGTTGTGAACTCTTGAATATGCAAAGTGAAAGCTAATTCAAGGAGAATATAGAAGAGGGTGTTTGGGAATTTCAAGGAATAATCTGTTTTGTGGAGGGAAAATAGTGATTTTACTACAAGAGATTGTTAGGCAAAAAATAGAAAAAAGGTATTTTAATAGTGAAGAAGTACTTTTGGTGTCCTTGTTTAAGAAAGTACCAGATTGATGTTTTTGAAGGGATAAAAGTCGTGCTTAAATCTCAAACTTTTATATCCTTTTTTTTTTATCCCGGAAGGTAAACCACCGCATCCAGTGGGGCAAATGCCGGGGGAACATTTGCCATAATTTTATTAAAGTGAGATTGAATACAAAGAGAAGGGGACCAAACCAAAACCTCTCGAGGAAAGGCATTCCATTCCAAAAAAAAAACACGAAGAATAAAAATGAAAAGACAATGGGAGCTAGACCTGCCCCATTAAAAATTACCAGTGTCTAATGCATGGAATACCAAATAAATCCCCAAAGTAAGCATTACGGGCCTGAATTGGCAGATCTTTGGCCCTGTAAAATTGCTGAAGTATATTAGTAGAAGATTTGGCCAGATAATGGGCCGCAGTATTAGCCTCTCGCCATATATGTCCGAAACTAATCGCTTTCCTAATTCTGAGAAGCTCCATTTCTTGAAAGCAACCCTTCCATCGACCGTCTCTTACCTGAGTGAGATAACCCAGTGCAAGCATACAATCAGTTTCAACATGAAAGCCATGGAACCCGGCGTCTACCATCCAGCGAGAGGCGTAAGCTATGGAGAAGATTTCCGCTTCCAGGCTCGACGAGGCAACCAAAGGAAACGCGATTGCCGCAATCAACTTCCCATCGTCATTTCTCAAAATAGCAGCACCACCAGCTTTCCCAGGTACGTAACAGGCATCGGTGTTGAGCTTAAGACAATTTTGGGGTTTAATCCATCGAATAGCTCTGATTTTCATCCTCGAAACCTTGAAATTCCGTGGAATAATCCCCTCTTCAAATAACACATCCTCCACACCGGGAATTTTTAATCTGGAAAGACTAGTTATCCAGGTACTTATGAAATGTTTTATTTGAATTATAATGCTCTCAGATGACACACCTCCTACCCTATCACCCCAAATGAATTCCGCATACGTTTTCCAAATAAACCAACAAATTATACCTGGAATGAGATGTTTAAGAAGGTCCAATAGTGTTTTGCTTCCGGCTTTAAGCCACCAATGCATCATCTTCTGTCTGATGCAAGAAGCAGAATAATGTGGAATGCCTAATATGCTCTGAAAATAGTACCAAATAGGTTTAACCACCGTACAGGAAAGAAATATGTGGCTCATGGAATCCTCATGTTTCCTGCATAAGGGGCATATAGAAGGCCTTAAGACCATATTAAATCTAACCAGCCTATCAGTTATTGGCAAGATGCCATGGAGCATTCGCCAAAGGAACACCTTAATTTTCAACAATTGACATGGATGCCAAATATGCTTGAAGGAAAGCATAGTAGACTGACCCTCTCTCACAGCCTCATAAGCTGACCTAAATGAAAAACGGCCATCAGCTTCAGACTCCCAGACTAGACTTCCATCATGATTGAGAGAGCAGTTGACTGTAGCCAAATCATGGATACTACATATCCTTCTCCAAATAGGAGAATCAGTTATTTTAGGAATCATGTTTGAGTCTCTAGGATATCTATTAGCCAAGAAATCAGTCCAAAGAGAGTTACCATTTCTCCATTTCCACCACAACTTCAAGGAGAAAGCTCTTTCAATGGACTTCAGAGATCTGATTCCTAATCCACCTTCTTCAGTAGGCATAGTCAACTTAGTCCAGGATAACCAATGATGATTATTCCGGGTAATGGAGGAACCCCAGAAAAAACTAGCCATCTTTTTCTCAAGTAAGTTAACCACTTTTTTAGGGAGGGTATCCACAGCAAGAACATGTAGGGGAATTGAGCTTAAAATGTGCTTAATCAAATTTAATCTCCCTCCTTGAGACAGATTTTTGCTCTTCCAAGAAGAAAGTTTAGATTCAAATTGCTTGATAATATCATCACAATATTGAAATCTATTAATACCTTTATGTAATTTAACACACAGGTACTTCATAGGTAGGGCAGAATGCTGCATACCCAAAATTCTCTGAATGCCTCTACTTCTGTATCTCCCAGGTTCACCCAAAATAAATGAACTCTTCTGCAAGTTGACTGCTTGGCCAGAAGCAACTTGATACTCCTTTATAAATCTGGTAAAATTAGCTAAAGACCTTTTCTCTCCATTTAAGAAAACAAGTAAGTCATCAGCATAACCCAAATGAGTGACTGGGAAACCAACATTTCCCATCCAATAGGGAGAAATACTGCCACTTGCCATTTTGTTATTGCGCCCTCTGGAAAATGCCTCAGAAAGGGGAGAGAGGGTCTCCCTGCTTTACCCCCCTTTTAGGCTTAAAAAACCCCTGGGGAATCCCATTTATAAGAACTGAGAAGTGAGTGGCTTCTAAATTATTTAGAACAATCTGGATGAACTCTCTGCCAAAACCAAATTTCTCAAGAACCTGCTGTAAAAACTTCCAAGATAGCCTATCAAACGCTTTAGCCATATCAAGTTTGATAATAACATTAGAGCCTCTAATTTTCTTATCAATAGAGTGTACCATCTCCTGAGCAATGAGAATTTGTTCAGCTATATCTCAAACTTTTATATCCTATAAAGTGAATATAGCATATGTCCGCCCCAAGACCAATCTAAATTGCTAACGATCGAAAAAAGATAAATCAAATTTATGTGTTATCTTCTACTCTAACTCAACATAGAAATTCCAAGTAGTCATCCATCCAAATCAAAGACCAATATTGTTCAATCTCTCACTGGGTAGTGTCCGCATGGGGGCTTCCAAAATTAAATCTCTCCCTCACCCCCCCCCCCCTCTCTGAATGTGTGTGAGTTAGTGTGTGAGTGTGTGTGCAAATGGTCCCAAATCTCATGTTGGCACTACCCACATGCGTAACATCGAACCATCCTTCAAGTCACAAAAAATGTCAGATTACAGGCTGATCTTTTCTCCTAATGTGACCAAGTAGCAAATATTGACAGTTTGACACTAATGGCATGTTACTATGTTAGCAGCAACCTTCTTAGAAGTAGCTATAGGTTAAAACTAACAATCGGTACATGATTTACAGCCAGCATATATCACATAGTAGCATAGTGTTGAACAAAGGTCTTACTTCGAAAGCAAATGTACATATTCCAACAGCAGGGCTTGCAAATAGACCAAAGGAGAAAACTGTGACCCTGAAGTTTAATATCCAGAAACACAAATGCAAAAAACTAAATACTATGTTAACCAAACTGGTTGAAGCACAAACAGCTAAACAGTGATCAACCGATATGCTCTTCGCTCATTTCGAGGTGTAATGTTCTTTGGCTGCTTTATCTTTTACATGCTCATGAAATACCTAAAACCTAATTACTGGAAGATAGATTTCATACAAAACACGATTGCTTTAGGGATGTAAATGAAATAACTTAAGACACATTAAATGCTAAAAACAAGCTTAATTCTTTAAACTTCACAAGTGCTTCAATTTCTCTACAAGTAAGAAAAACTTTAGATGAATGAAAACGTACATGTCCATACAGTGAGTATAAGACAGTAGCATAAGCTTACACTGGTTGATCGGTTGTCTTAGCTCCTGCCCTTATAAGACAGTAGCTGATTCCGCCAGTTATAGATGAACATAGACCAACCAAAACTGCATAGAAATGGTGGTTTCCATTTACATATGAAGCATTAGCTTCTCCAATGTCTCGCAAAGCTCCTGGAAAAAGTCTACAATTAATTATTCAATCTTCTTCTCTTTAAAGACAATGTGCACATAACCACATCACCACCACCTTAGTCCCAACTATTTTGGATGGGGGGCATGAAATTTGTAGTGTCAATTAATTATCCAAATTTGTTTAGTACTATAAACTCATGCAAAAAACATAATAGCAAAGTTTTATGTTGGTTGCCTTTCATGTCGGAACCTAGTAAACAAGGAATGATCAGATGAAATTACAAAACCTTCATAACCATAGATTTTTTACACATATAAACTAACATGAGACAGTGTTGAGTTATAGTTGTTATAGTCATGTCCCATTGAAAAATTGATAATGTAAAATCAACATGTATATCATGGAAGCAATTCAGGATTTGGGCTAGATACACTCATACACATTCCAATTTTTTATAATTTTTTTAAAAAAGTGTGTACCTTCTGTACTGATCATTGGTTGGAAGAGAAAGAGCACACCAAAGAAGCTGCTTGCTAGACCTGCAAAGGACGCCAAAGCAATGATGACAAACAAATCTAATGTTGTGTTTGGTTTGAGGAGAACAGAGGGAAAAACTAAATTAGAATGAACTTGCTTGCATCAATACATTGGAAGGCATGTGAGAAAAACGAATGGATGAAATCCCACTGCGTCGTGGAAATTGAGGGATTTGAAGGGAATGTTGTAGCAATTGAAATGAAAAAAATGTCCCTGATTTTTCTCCGAATACTAAGACTACCCAAGAAACCTGATCCCATTGCAAACCAAAAGAACTATTCTAGTCATTTCATTTTATATTCTCACTCATCCACCTGCAAAGCAAAAAGGGTAAGCCCATTCCCCCACTTTGCCCCCTTCCACTACCAAGCCCCAATAAACCAAACAAAGAAATTTATTTTCCTTTCCCTCTACTCCATTTAAACCCATTCCCTCTGTTAAGTCAAACAGACGAAAAGTGAATTTTGGCATCATAAACATACAAAGAAAATATTTGGTCAAGTCCTTGATAGTTTTACTTTTCATGTTAAGAAATGTTCTTGAGTCTATATTCCCTATAAGAATCAACTCGTAAAACTCTTTTCATGTACATCTGACATGAATAGTGTTATAACTATGCATTCCATAGCAATTTAGATCCTCATTGCATGCACTGTGTCTTGACCATAAGTTCAACACTGAAATTACATGACCCTTTGTGATTAGTGATATAGCCAAAGGAACATACCTCCAATTTCAGCAAGATTTATCTTTTCATGCAATATGAACCGAGAACCAACTGCAGCCACGATTGGAGTCGTAAAACTCAATACACCAGCCTGGGACAATGGTAACCTTTGAATGCTGAAAGAATTGACTTACTTATGGTCACTAGGAAATCATGCCCCACAATGGTAAACCTTATACTCTATGCATACTTGATGGCATAAAGGCATTAACAAATCTCCCCCTTTATATAGCACTATTTATTGGAGGAAGGTATATTCCAAGTTGCGCCCTTACCAGTAAATGAAACTTAATAATGATAAATATCCGATCACGGCTCTTAAAACCAAAAGTGTAGTGACGTTCTTCAGTCCAAAGATTGGTTGCCTCGTTCTCTTCAACCATATAAGCGATACAATCAAGAGTAATGTACATCTTGTGAATGCCATTTCAAAAAGGGAAATTGATTGAACTGCAAGTATTTAACAACAAAAGTAAAAAAACAAAGTTATGAAATACGAGGACAAATATGTTGGTCACTTGGTTGAGAATGATCAAAAGGTATTGAACAGATTACAAGAGTCATGTTTATTTGTGTTTGTATGTGTATGGGATTGAGATTTACAAACCTCAAAAAATATCTGAAACAACATCCATAGTACAATAGATTACAGATGAGAAGGCCAGACATAGCAGACCAGAGTACTTTGATCCACTCCACGCCCTAATATAAACTGCAAATACGGCGATGTATCGGATTCTGATCTTTTCACTTCTTCCTACAGCGTCCAAAACCAATAATAAAAAATTCATTTTCAGAAAATTGCAAAGATGAATATTATCATGTACTCCGTTCGTATCATATAAATATACAACTAGCCAAGGGATGCATAGAGAGGTTTGCTTACTATTTAACTTGTAAATAGAAGATGTGCCAGTTTAAGTTTTTTAGGCAGAAAACTATTTTAAAATCCAAACGCTCCCTTGCGTTTAACATGTTGTGAATCAAATACTCCCCAACCAGTAGGTAGGACTCTTGTGAAGTTGTGAAATCTTCCAGGATAATATGATAGTGATATAGAAATTTTAGTCATTTACTCATCTTAAGCTAGCAAATCAAGAAATTTAAGCGTCATTGAAAACTTCAGCATGGAAGATTCTAGGACATTGCCTTTCCAATTTATACTGTTATTATACTAACAATAGCAATTCCATAGTCCACCTTATTAAAATCTCTCTT